CATAGAGATTCTTTGCAACATTTTGGTTCATTTAAGATTTTTACTTCATTTGATTCTACATTTTCTTTCACATACAGCCCATAGAGTTACATGGCGACCGCACTGTTCGTAAGTGCGGATCGCCGTTCGTAACTCGGATCCTCATTTACGACCGCTTTGTCATAAGTGCGGATGGTCATAAGTGGAGGTGGTCATAACTTGGGGAGCGGCTGTATAGTGCCACTCCCCCACCAGCACCACCTGTTCTGTGTACTTCCTATATATTTTGTCCCCTGGTATGACTGTGTCCCATTGATTGTCCTCATTCCACCAAGTTTCTGTGATGCCTACTATATGAATATCCTCTTTTAATATGAGGCACTCTAGTTCACTCATCTAATTATTTAGACTTCTAGCATTTGTATATAAGCATTTTAAAAAAATTGTTATTGTTTATCTGTCTGCCATTTCCTGATGTTAGATTCCTTTTCATTTGATTGCTTCTCATCTGATCTTATCCATACTTTATCATCTTCCATGCTCTAAGCCTGACTAGAACATAGAGAATCTCTATTAATATACCCTCTGCTAAGAAATGTCTCTCTCTGATCTATGTGTTCCTCTGCACTCGTCGGCTTTGCCTTTGTTTAAAAACTGCTCTACAAACTTTTTAATGTTAAGTGCCAGCAATCTGGTTCCATTTTGGTTTAGGTGGAGCACATCCTTCCTGTACAGGCTCCCCCTTTCCCAAAAGTTTTCCCGGTTCCCAATAAATCTAAACCCCCCCCTCTCCACACCATTGTTTCATCCACACATTGAGACTCTAAAGTTATGCCTGCCTACCGGGCCCTGGGCACGGAACTGGAAGCATTTCAGAGAATGCTTGGATTCACAGTGGTCTTGGATTTCAGTCTCTTACCTAGCAGCTTAAATTTGGACTCTAGAACCTCTCTCCTACTCTTCCCTGTGTCATTGGTACCTACATGTACCACAACCACCAGCTCCTCCCCAATTTGCTAAACAATGAATCCACACTCCCAAATCTGTACCATTGACTTTAAGGGCTGTTAAAGTCAATTTCAGTACTCCTTTTCGTGAGGACTAATGGTAAATTCAACCTTGCATGGTCGACTTTAGCATAGTGCAGATGCAGCATTGGGAAAATCGACATTCTTGACCTCCAGGAGGGTCCCTCTATGCCCTGCTGTGACCACTATAGCCAGGACTTTCAACTCTGCTGCTCTCCAGGTGCACAGAATAGCCCCAGGAAAAATCGCATTTAATTTCCTATGTGGCCAGTGTGGTGAGCATAAGAACATAAGAACGGCCGTACTGGGTCAGACCAAAGGTCCATCTAGCCCAGTATCCTGTCTACCGACAGTGGCCAGCACCAGGTGCCCCAGAGAGGGTGGACCGAAGACAATGATCAAGCGATTTGTCTCCTGCCATCCCTCTCCAGCCTCTGACAAACAGAGGCCAAGGACACCATTTTATCCCCTGGCTAATAGCCTTTTATGGACCTAACCTCCATGAAATTATCTAGCTTCTCTTTAAACTCTATTATAGTCCTAGCCTTCACCGCCTCCTCTGGCAAGGAGTTCCACAGGTTGACTACACGCTGTGTGAAGAAGAACTTTCTTTTATTAGTTTTAAACCTGCTACCCATTAATTTCATTTGGTGTCCTCTAGTTCTTCTATTTAGGGAACTAATAAATAACTTTTCTTTATCAGCCCTCTCCACACCACTCATGATTTTATATACCTCTATCATATCCCCCCTCAGTCTCCTTTTTTCTAAACTGAAAAGTCCCAGTCTCTTTAGCCTCTCCTCATATGGGACCCGTTCCAAATCCCTAATCATTTTAGTTGCCCTTTTCTGAACCCTTTCCAAGGCCAAAATATCTTTTTTGAGGTGAGGAGACCACATCTGTACACAGTATTCAAGATGTGGGCGTACCATAGTTTTATACAGGGGCAGTAAGATGTTCTGGGTCTTATTTTCTATCCCTTTCCTAATAATTCCTAGCATCCTATTTGCCTTTTTGACCGCCGCTGCACACTGTGTGGAAGTTTTCAGAGAACTGTCCACGATAACTCCAAGATCTCTTTCCTGATTTGTCGTAGCCAAATTAGCCCCCATCATACTGTACGTATAGTTGGGGTTATTTTTCCCGATGTGCATTACTTTACACTTATCCACAGCAGAACTAAGAGCAGGCAGCACACATCAGCAGCACACCTGACCATGAAAGCCCAGGGTCACAAACAACTAGCATGGAACATGCAGGTATTCTTGGACCTCATTGCTGTGTGGGGAGAGGAATCTGTTCCCACAGAACTAAGAAATAGCAAAAGAAATGCTGATATCTATGCCAAGATCACAGAGTATGGAGGAGAAAGGATATGCCAGACACATTCAACAGTGCCACATGAAAATAAAGGAGCTGGGGCAGGCATATCAGAAGATAAAGGAGGCAAACGGATGGCTTGAGTAATCGCCACAAATATGCTACTTCTATGAGCAGCTGCATGGGATCCATGGGGGGGACCCAACCAGTTTCCCAAGAAAGTCTGTGGACTCCTCCCAAGCCACTCAGGCAGACTCAGGCAGGCAGGAGTGTGGAGGACAGTGTGGCTGAGGAAGAGGAGAATGGTCAGCAGGTGAGTGGGACAACCAATCTCACAGATTTACAACTTTGGAAACAATCCCCTCCTCCCAGGACATCTCGCTGCAGTCACGGATGTCAGAGAAGGCACTTCTTGTGAGTTCATATTTTTTATCATGCTACAGCTGGGTTATGGCAATTGGGTATGCTTAGTGCAAGCCACTCTGCCTACACAGCGAGAGCTCCTGGAACAGCTTGTTAATGTGACTGGAGATAGAATGGAAATCCTCCCTGCACATCTCCATAAAGCTTTCATAGGTTTCTGGGGAGGGCTGCCATATTCCATCCTCCATGGCAGGACACCTTTCCATGCCAAGCCAGCAGAAAGTCACTGCAACATAAGGTCCAGGTTTCTGGCCATATTCAGTCAGCATCAACTCCTTATCACCCTGTGTGATTTGGAGAAGACTGTTACCATGCGTGGAAACCTGGATGAAGCAGGGCAAGTATTAACTGCAGTAAACCTCAGTTTGCTTATCCCCCATGAAGCATGGTTTGAGTCCCTGCCATGCTGCTCCATCAGGCCCCTTTCCAGCCCAGAGGCTCCTCTGTGTCAGCATGAGTCCCTGTCCTTCTGCCATGCCCAGACTCCTTCTCCCCTCCTGCTCATGTGCTCCTTTGGGAAGGGAAAGTCACTCTCTTGCCACATGGGGAAGGGAGCGGGGGGAGGCTGCCAAACAAGTGGTCACCATCTGAGCCCCTCCCCTCTGCAGGCTCAAGCCCCAGCCTGTCTCTTACCATGTCTGCTGCCAAAATGAGTCCAGCTGTTCCTGTAAGATCTCTGTGTTTTACCTGTTGTATAGTGAGCACTTAAAAGCATAACTGTGTGGCTTTGTACATAACACATCCCTATTGTCTTTGGACAGACCTCTTTTTGTGTCACTCACTCAACTCAAGTGCTTCACCGAGAAGAGTATGTTTATGGCCTCCTGAGATTCGTTGTTCTGATGGTTCCTGGTTATGTTCTGAATGTACTCCAGCATAAGATGTGTGATAGTTAATATGATTGCCATAATACTTTGCTGCTGAAATGATTCCATGCTGGGTTCCATGCTTACCCTGCTATGGCATTTGCATGGATATTCAGGGAAAAACAGGGCATGAAAAGACTGTTAGATGTTGCTTTCAAGCAGGGGGAGGGAGGAAGGAAGAGATGAATGCATTATGGGATGCTGACAACATGTACACAGATCCACGTGCTGCACAGTTTTAGTCCCAGCATGCACTGGGACCATAACCCAAAATACAAGGGGTGCATGAACTCTGGGATAGCTACCCATGGTGCATCACTCTGAGTCGACATTAGCCATCCTACTGAGGATGTGCTGTGTTGAGTTATGTTGAATTCTTGCACACAGTGGGGACATGCACCTTCTACTTTACAAAATTGGGTGCTAGAAAATCTACCTTATTAAATTTGACCTTATTTCTCAGGACATGTCTCCAGTTACCAGAGGATTGATGCTCTGGTGATCGTTCCTCCAGGGTTTGATTTAGCGGATCTAGTAAAGACCTGCTAAATCGAACACTGAGGGCACTCTGGTTGGTGTTGGTGTTACAAGGAGTAAGGGAAGTCGATGGGAGCATTTCTTCTGTTGACCTCTTACCCTGAGGCCACCCCATAAAATCGGTGCAAGGTACATCAACTCCCGCTATGCACTTCATGTAGCTGGAGTTGCATATCTTGCATCAATTTTCTCCGCCAGCGTAGATAAAGCCTGAGTCTACTGAGCCAATGCCCAGATTCTGTTAGGCTACACTATTCTGTTGTAGATGTTAACTTTCCATTTAACAGCAAAGCTGAAGTTTTAGAGATAATTCACTATTTCAGAGCACTTTTAACAAAATAAGGCTGCCATCCTTCATTAGATATCTTAGTATGAATCTAATTTGTGAATTTATTGTGTTTACGTTAGCTTTTGCTGCAGTTTCACTTGATTACTATATTCCTCACTTCCTGTCCTAAACAATTTTATAGTGTTGCTATGTGCTATTAAACAGCTGACACAATATACCTAAGAAGTGGTATCATTGGTATGTGATTTATTCTAGTTTGCTGTATACAGATATAGGGACAAATTCGGCCTCCCCTGTTTAGATCAGTGTAAATTCAGGGTAAGTCTACTGAATCTGGTATATGGTTTGTGGACAGTAATTTTATGCTTTCACACAGCTATTCCCGGGCTTCCCAAAATAGCTTTGGAACCTCCAGAATATTGTCATAACATGATATTGCTTTGTGATGTAATTCTAATGCTGCTTTCTAAAGGAAGTCATGGAGTCTCACTACTTTACTATTTTATTTGGAGAAGAAATTAATTTTGACATTCATACCTTATTTCATTTTCTTTGCAGGTATAAAACTAGTGTAGAAAACTATGCTCTCTTCACTACCAGAACCACTGTAAGTATTGTTTAATAATGATCAAGACAAATCCGTCTTGATTCCAGCTTCTATTTGAGTATATTGACTGACAATGTTTTTGGTCTGATTTCAAAGACCTTTATTTTGTAATGTCTTAATATTGCAGTGTGCAATAGATTTTGCTGTATATAGGAAGATTTTTCTGTAAGGATGTGTCAGGACCAATTCAGTTCAATCAGGCACACATGTTACTTCACAGTGGAAGGCAGATAAAACCTTTGCTTATGTAGAGAAACCACTGCTTACTCCAAATTCTTAGATTCAACTACCAGATTTTATTTATATAAGTACAGTGTTACACCCAATGATCAAATAAGATGTAGCTGGCCTGTGAACTAGCTACACTGAAAGGGAAAAGGCAGAGATTCTAACATTATATTTTATACACAGTGTTATGTATTGTCTTTATCAATAACCCATTTTCTTAATTTGCTACCACAAATCTTTCCTTCCCTATTGGTTAATATTTATCACTGTACATAATATTCTGAATTACACAGTAATTTACATAATACATTGTTCCCCTTTTTAGCCATACTATAACTATTGTACCACTTTTCAGGCACTTTTCTTTTCCCCAGACTCCCCAAAAAACTTAATAAGATGTTCAGATCTTAATATTCTTTATTGGGAACCTTTGTTTGCACTTGTCAATCTTTAAAAGATTATACAGAGGTTATAAAAACTACATTTGAGTATGCAGGCCTACAAATCCTATATGTATATTGTTTATACATCTGCTTAAAGATTCCTAATCAATTATCCACTAAATAAGTATTGGATCTTTACAAGGTTATAAAGAGCACACTCACCTAACCACTGGCTTTATTCCCTTACATTTTCTCACTTGAGTTTATAAATAAACCATTCAATAACATGACTATAAAATATGCTATATCTTTACAAAAGTTCAAAAAATACATTTTCTGATATCCACTGTCAAGAACACACACTTTTTGTAGTTTAGAGTCTAGACAAAGCTCTAAAACAAAACTATTCAGAGATTCCCATTTGTCCTTGCTCATTTTATTATTTATTTTCATTTTTACACTAAAAAACAATGACAATCTGTTGCATAGTAAGTGTATGTTAAAACTGTTAGTGTAGGTTTTATTGTCATTTCAGATTTTACAAAATTATTGGTGGGTGATGTAAAGCCAAAACAGTAATAGGAATTTCAAATTTAATTTGGACACACTCAAGCTCTTCATGCAAACACAGGCTGTACCTCTATACAAAAACCCGGAATTCTCTGATCCAGCAACATCCATGGTCCACAATGGATGTTCCAGGATCAGAGAGTCCCAGTGTGTTGCAGAGGGGTAGGGGACCAGGCACCCAATGCAGGGCCAGGGGGCGCAACATGCAGCCCAACTGAGCTGCGGAAGGAGGGACAAGAGCTGGGAAGTCCTGTGCACAGCTCAGCTGGGCCACAAGGGAGAAGAAGGAGGTGGGAGCTGGCATGTGGCTCATCTGGGCTGCGGGGTCTAGAAGTTAGCATGCAGCTCTGCTAGGCTTCACGAGGAGCCAGGAAGCCTGGCAGGAGGGGTAGGGGGAGTGCAGATGTAATGTTTTTCTGATGTTGCATTCATAGAATCATAGAATAATAGGACTGGAAGGGACCTCGAGAGGTCATCGAGTCCAGCCCCCCGCCCTCAAGGCAGGATCAAGCTCCGTCTACACCATCCCTGACAGATGTCTATCTAACCTGTTCTTAAATATCTCCAGAGAGGGAGATTCCACCACCTCCCTTGGCAATTTATTCCAATATTTGACCACCCTGACAGTTAGGAATGTTTTCCTAATGTCCAATCTAAACCTCCCCTGCTGCACTTTAAGCCCATTACTCCATGTCCTGTCCTCAGAAACCAAGAGGAACAAATTTTCTCCTTCCTCCTTGTGACACCCTTTTAGATATTTGAAAACCGCTATCATGTCCCCCCTTAATCTTCTTTTTTCCAAACTAAACAAGCCCAGTTCATGAAGCCTGGCTTCATAGGTCATGTTCTCTAAACCTTTAATCATTCTTGTCGCTCTTCTCTGTACCCTTTCCAATTTCTCCACATCTTTCTTGAAATGTGGCGCCCAGAACTGGACACAGTACTCCAGCTGAGGCCTAACTAGCGCAGAGTAGAGCGGCAGAATGACTTCACGAGTTTTGCTTACAACACACCTGTTAATACAACCTAGAATCATATTTGCTTTTTTTGCAACAGCATCACACTGTTGACTCATATTCAACTTGTGGTCCACTATGACCCCTAGATCCCTTTCCGCCATGCTCCTTCCTAGACAGTCGCTTCCCATCTTGTATGTATGGAACTGATTGTTCCTTCCTAAGTGGAGCACTCTGCATTTCTCCTTATTAAACCTCATCCTGTTTACCTCCGACCATTTCTCTAACTTGCTAAGGTCATTCTGAATTATGTCCCTATCCTCCAAAGAAGTTGCAACCCCACCCAGTTTGGTATCATCTGCAAACTTAATAAGAGTACTCTCTATCCCAATATCTACATCATTGATGAAGATATTGAACAGTACGGGTCCCAAAACAGACCCTTGAGGAACTCCACTTGTTATCCCTTTCCAGCAGGATTTAGAACCGTTAACAACAACTCTCTGACTACGGTTATCCAGCCAATTATGCACCCACCTTATCGTGGCCCTATCTAAGTTATATTTGCCTAGTTTATCAATAAGAATATCATGTTAGCAATACGTTTTCCACAGCTTGCACTAGTTCAGTATCACAGTACATGAATAAATGGTGCAGACAGTTCTCAAAATCATTTGTAGTCAGCTTCAGTAATTGAGAACAATTTCATTGAAAACATTTCCTACTGTTGCTATCATCAGTGATTGTGAACACACTTGTGCACATACCAGTGAATATATCTACTGTTTATAAAGCAAATAAAGCTGGAAGGATTAGTAATTCTCTGCACTGTGAGGAGGGAAAATCAGATTTTATTAAACTGTCAGTAGTCTTTTGTTTCTGTGGACCAGGCATGGGAGTTCACTGAAGTTAAATTATGCACTGAGGGGAGGATTGCATTGTCTATTGAAAAGTTGCTCTGACTCACTGCAGAACACCATCTAAATAGCTCAAAAGCAATTTTGAATATGCTTTTGTTGCATAATGATGGCCTTGGCAGTGGCGAACTATTCCCATGGAGGAAAAAATAAATCCTTATGGATGTAATGAACCTATGGGAGGAAGAGCAAGATGAAAACTAGTTTATGCTCACTGGCAGTACTTACTGCTGGTGTCACAAAGATTGCACTTTTCAGCAAGATTTCCTGTCCTGCTAATAGGGGCTTTTAAATGATAATTCTATTTCAAAACCTTATTTGCTAGTTTTATGTAAGGTATACCATTGTATGTTTGCTGTGTGCTTTACATAATTCCGTCCGCGTTTTTTCCACTGAAATTGATGACAAAACTTCTTTTGACTACACTGGAAGATGTTTATGCTTAATACCATAGTCATTACTATTTAACATTTGAAGTTGTCCCCAGGCATATTTAATATTTAAAAAGTGTCATCATTTTTGTGCAATAATTTAAAAATTAGTAAAAGGATATTATGGTTTTAAACTGTCTCTATTGTCAGATATAAAGCAACAGTTTATATATTTGTATATGCTAGAATAAGTTTCTACTCTTTGTTTAGATATATTTAGAGTATGAAGGATCTTTATTTGTGGAATGGGAAATTTCTTCATTATGTACTATTTCAAATAAAAGGTAAGACTTGCAAAAGTGAATAATAGCACAATGGTAACTCACATTGACTTCATTGAGATCAAAGTTAGGTCAAGTTTGAATTCTTATGAAAATGTAACCCAAATTTTGAGGAGGTCATGTTTGTATACATATACAAATATGATGGGCTTATGTTTAGGTTAGCACATGATTAATTTGGAAGCCTGTTGGAAAACAAAATATTGTTTTTATTTCTCTTGAGGATTTTGAAGTACAGATACTTTGTTTCAGAATGAGAGCTGTGGGTTGCAGATTTGCAGAGGAGATAGATTCTGATACTGAGGTTTCTATACAATTTATATTGTAACTTAAATATTTATCTGTGTAATGAGACAACGTACTGGTACATACAATATAAAGTAGTTCTAAGTATACTGTTTTCCGTAAACTACCTTGCCTACGTACTGTACATATGAAGAAACCTTGAGCCAAAAACTTGATCAATGTTCTAAAATGTGCATCTAAATTAAGAATTTCATAATATTTTATGTTATTGGGAGTTTATTTGGTCCACTACATTTATCTGGTAGCTATCACTATAGTAAGTGCTGAATTGTAGTTCCTATTTGTGATATTTTTAAATGGGAGCATGTCTGATTCCTTATATTTGGAGCAACTAGGGTTTCAAGATGACCCTATTATAGGCATTAGGCTGCTCAAAGGATTCTAGATCAGTGGTCCCCAACCTTTAGAGGCTCCCGGGCGCCCGGGAGCGGGGCCACTCACACGTTGG